GAATTCGCGTTTTTTCTTTTGATTCTTTCAATTTTTCAATTGCATTACGCATTATTGCAATAATTTCTATCGTTACATTTGTATGTATTCAACGTTTGTTTGTTTTAGTGTCGTGAAATGAATTATATTACACATTTTCTCTATTCACACTGAATTTAAAGATTATAACGATTAAAAATCAAGTTGACCTGTGGTCATTTATCAAGAATAATCATAATAAAGCTGAAATTATTGTGTTAAATAATTTTTTTAATACGAATTAGGAATTTATTCAACGTTTGCTTGTTAGAATAGAACGATAAATTTAGTGTAAATATAGAAAACGTATAATATAATTTATTTCATGGTATTGTAACAAGCAAACGTTGAATAAATTCCTAATTCGTATTAAAAAAATTATTTAACACAATAATTTCAGCTTTATTATGATTATTCTTGATAAATGACCACAGGTCAACTTGATTTTTAATCGTTATAATCTTTAAATTCAGTGTGAATAGAGAAAATGTGTAATATAATTTATTTCATGGTATTGTAACAAGCAAACGTTGAATACATTTTTCATTCGTGTAAGAAGAATTATTTAACACGATAAATTTAGCTGTACTATGGTTATTTTTAATCTACGACCACAGGTCAACCTGATTTTTAATCCCTACGAAATTAATTTAACCACGAGTAAGTAACGAGAACGCTAAAACCTATGTTTCCATTGAAGAATATTGTAAAAACGTATAAATTGTTATATGCAATGTTATAACAAATTGTCGGAAGTATAAATTTTTAATAAAATTGTGAAAATTGATAAATTATACCGTGTTACGATATCGGAAATCTCCCGCGAAAATCTCCCGCGAAAATTTCCCGCCTGACCTAACCGACGATTTTGCTAATGACTTTGGGGAGAGGGTACCGCAGGTATATAAGGACCCGCCGATGTCCCGCGAAATCATTTACCCTTTATACTGGGCCCTAGACACTTCGCGGCGTATTTTGACCTGAAGGTTCTGAGATGTGAATAGAGTGGTCGGGGGCTACTAGCTAGTCTATGTCCACCCTGTACACACTCAGCCTTCTTGTAACACTTGTATACATTAGAATCAATTAGAATTTCTATTACTAATTATTAAACAAATTTTAACAATTACCGGCACTCGCTAGGCACGTAATATCAGACTTTAAATACTCGACTTCGAACTTCGGTTTAGTCATAATTCTATTAATGTTATAATAACGTATAATTTATTAATTTTCACAATTTTATTATTAATTTATACTTCCAAAAATTTGTTAAAACATTACATATTATTATTTATACATTTTTGCAAGTTTCTTTGACAAATAAGTACGTTTCAACGATCTTATTACTTTCTCGTTGTGAAATCAAGTTCGGAGGATTAAAAATCAGGTTGACCCTTGGTCGTAAATTTAAAATAGCCATAGTGAAGGTGAAATTATTATTTTAAATAAATGTTTCTATACGAATTAAGAATCTATTCAACGTTTGTTTGTTGCAATACCGTGAAATAAATTGTATTATATATTTTCTCAGTTTAGACTGAATTTAAAGTTCGTAAGGATTAGAAATCAGGTTGACCTGTGGTCGTAGATTAAAAATAGCCATAGTGAAGGTAAAATTATTACGTTAAATAATTGTTTTTATACGAATTAAATATTGATTCAACGTTTATTTGTTGCAATACCGTGAAATAAATTGTATTATATATTTTTTCTGTTTACACTAAATTTAAAGTTCTGTTTACATGTTATAACAATTAGAATGTAGACGTTTTGCCGTTTCACGGTTTTTCCTCTGTTAATTATGTGTTTATAAATCATTTCAAACTAAAGCAGCACCATGCCCACCCTTAATTAAACCGTCTCAGTAGTTTACCGTAATTAATAATCTATTTTCGGAATTTATACGAGAATTTTTGAATTTTAGTAAATACTAGAGTCAGTGCATCGCGTATTGAAATAATAGCTTATACAGATAATCTTTTGAAATTACTCTTAATTAGGGAAAATCTTGAATCTTGTATGGAAGATGAAGATTTTCAGGAAATATTTATTTTTCAACAATGAATTTTTGTTTTATCGATTAATAACATACGAAATGATTTTTGAAAATTTTCTTCGTTTGAACGTTCGTTTAAGGTTCGACTATGATTATCAAATCTCTCGAAACACCGTAGAATGTTCAACTTTAAAAGTAAATTTTTCAATTTTTGGATAATCTGGGTAACGTGTTAGTGTTGACGATACACTTTCGAGTATAGACGTTAAAGTTCATAGAGTGGTCGGGGGCTACTAGCTAGCCTATGTCCACCCTGTACACACTCAGCCTTCTTGTAACACTTGTATACATTAGAATCAGTTAGAATTTCAATACAATAGACTGAATAACAATTCATTTTAACTAATACCTATTAGAAATTTTCCTTTTAAAACAAATATAAATCATTTTACCAATTACTGGTACTTGCTAGACATTTAATATCAGACTTTAAATATTCTCCTTAAATATTTTTTAAATACAATCAAATAATTTCTTCAATAATCGATACTGACTTGGAATACTCCGCTTCGAATAAAATATTTCGAAATTATTTTGAAGGTTTAGGGAAATAAACATTTGAATTTTAGTCATCGTTGTTCTTCAGACTTGTCGAATAGGATATTGAAATGACTTTGAGAGGTTGCCTTTTCGTTACTTTTCTTCCAGCAATTGAAATTAATTTGAAATTTTTCATATATTTTCTCTGATATTGAATTTTGTTTACTAATAATTTACCATCCAACGAATTTGCACGAATTGCATGTTAAGTAGTTAGTTGATTTATTATTGTATATTGTGAGCTGATTTGGAACGAGTGCACTATGCCCACCCTAAATTAAACCGTCTCAGTAGTTTACCGTAATTAATAATCTATTTTCGGAATTTATACGAGAATTTTTGAATTTTAGTAAATACTATTTTTTTTTTTTTTTACGTGGAGGTAGGCCGACTATGTGATAAACAATTGGCAACCAAACGGTGGCTCGCTAAAGCGGTATATTATGAAATTAAATTAATCACTCAATAAGTTTTAACGTTAGATTGTTTCCTCGATATGGCCATGATGGTCATCAGTGACTGGAGTGCCTCAAATTTTTAGAATAATTAAAATAAAATAAATGTTGTCAACTAAAAACTTTGAACGTCATAGCTAGCTAAGCATAATACTATAATCCTATGCTTAAAATGTATTTTCTTGTGGCCGCCTGACAGCAACCTGTAAATCTGGCGTGACAGTGAACGTGTTAATAAGTAAATGTTGTTCAAATTATATCGTGTTTGATATCATTTTCATCAGAAAAATCTCACCAACATGTTAAAAAAACCGACTGGTGTAGCGTTACACGCTTGACTGACTGCGAGCGAGATAATATGGACGCAGCAATGACGCAGATCTAGGCGTAGGACCTTCTATACTGTCACTTGTAGAATCCAAACTTACTGATTCTTGTAGAGAATTTACTGTATTTCTTTCCAAGCATTCTCTCTGCATATTTGATTATAAGATCGTGATGTTAAATGTGAACCTTCAATTGTAGCATTGGCTATACAATCCTGCCACACCTTTCGGACCAGTCGTTGAAAAACAAGGATCTAATCCTTTTATAAATCGTCCTCCAATTGAAATTATCAGTTCAGGAGATGTTCTAGATGTACCATGGATTACTGGAATCGTTAGCGAAGAAGGATTATATCCTTCCGCAGGTTTGGTTTGTTACCACAAGGGATAAATATCTTTTTCCTCCATTTTGTAACTGAAAGATTATTTTTCACAGAATATGTTGCTAATGACAACCTTCTGAAAGAGTTGAATGATAATTGGGACGACCTTGCACCGTATATTCTTAATTTCAACGATTCTATTCCGCTTAAAGAGCACAAACAGGTCGCAGAAAAAATTAGAGAATTTTATTTTGGACGTGAAAAGATTGATAGTGACACGGTTATGACTTTAATACATATGATTGGAGATCGGAGTTTTGGCGTTGGTTTTGAAAAAGCTTCTAGATTGCAAGCGAAAGTTAACAAAAGTCCAGTGTGGACCTATTATTACTCGTATAGAGCACAGCACAGTTTTAGCGAAGCAATGAGCGGTTCTAACAAAAACTTCGGTAATATTATTATGCTTTCTGCTTGAAATAGGGAAGAAATTTAACGTTTGAAATAATGTGATCAAATTTATTGTATCAGGTGTAAGCCACGGTGATGATCTATTCCTTGTGCTTGACAAGACTATATCGAATACTACGAAACCAGATGATTTAAAAATGCAAGAATATTTAATTGATTTTTACACATCATTTGCTATTGAAGGGTAAAATGTTTTGGGACATATTATAAGCATTATTATGCATTTTCGTAACAAAGAGTTCTGCAATTTTTTAGAATACCAAATATTGGTCACGCTAAATGGGAACCATTGAATTCTGATCAAGACTTTCGTTATTTGCACATAGCAAATCTGACAAGTATAAGCATGGAATCTAGTCGAAATTTTGCTGAAAAAGATTTTTGGAGCACAATCCATATTTATGAAAAAGATCAATTATCACAAAAAATATCGAGCAAATATGGTGCGACTTAATCGGTGTATATTTGCAAAACCGAAAGAAGTGTATCTATAAGTGAAGGAATATAGTAACACGAAATTACGTTGTAAAATATTCACACTTTCAGGATAAAGTAAATTAGTTCTTCAAATTTTTACGCCTTATCGAAAAATTTTCTGACAAGTTCACATTCCACACGATCGCAAAGACGCGAATAACATATTACAGTACTTCGTCAGGAATACGATGAAGTATAGTTAATACTATGTTTCGAAGTAAAGAAGCCTGCCTTGAACTTTTATATTTCCGATCACAGTAACCACCAATTATACTAATCTTTACAGTAACTTTCAGCCTTAAAATGTTTACACACGTTGCAATTGTAACATTTATTTGCTATGTTGGTATACAAATGACATAAGCTTAATTCCTGGCAATCATTTCCCCATACATTTCTCTCAATCTCAACATCACCATGTTCATTCATTTGACTTGACACGCAACAATGTTCTCTTTACTCCTTGATATGGTTTATATGAGATTATAACTATTTATCAACGTCTATCATCACGCTTTATTAGCATTAATTTTGCAACATTATCTTTCTACGTAATTCTGTGTCGACGCGGAATTCACTCATTGCCACTTTTTCTAAGACTGTTAGACGTACATGCGATCTCTTTAACTGATAAGATATGTTATAATACATATAATTATTCGCGGAATTTTTTTCGAGTATCCTTGGCAAAGCGTGGTATTAACTTGGCAATTGTTTAGATACATACATATTAGGGAGCTGTTTAAATAGCTCACTTTATGCTACATTCGCGCACAGTTTCAAAAATGATCGTGAAGAACATATCGACACTTTTGCTTTTGCTCGGGCTTGTGAACCTCTCGCTGCAGGATGAAGAGAGCCCGAAAGTTAACACGACACTGGGATGCATAACTGGTTACTATAAGACGTCTCTACATGGTAAAATGTACGAAGCTTACGAAGGCATCCCTTACGCAGAACCCCCGGTTGGAAAACTTCGGTTCCAAGTATGTTCAACTACAGCGTTACGAAGATTCAAATCGTTCGACAAAAGGCGGTAGATCGGTATTAGATTATACAATAGAAAATTTTCAAGGTTCATCTTGATTAGTATGAAACATTCACCTAACTTAACAAGACCCAACTTAACACTCAACTGACGACATGTGCAGGCTAATAATACATGGGAATCGTACTTTTGACATGTCAAACCTCGAAATAATGTGACAAAAAGCTGTTAATTTGTTCAAAGTTCTGGAGATTTAAATACAGTTTTGGAGATTAAATTTCACCATTGCCGAACTATGGCAGTTATGACCTGATAGTGTATCTGGAAATTCTAGCCACCTCAACCTGTGAAAAGCTGGGGAGGAGATTTGTCCGCGACGAAAAAGGGTTCCGTTTGCACGCAGTATACTTTGGCTGCCGTTGCACCTACCGAAGATAGAGTCTTGGGTTGTGAGGACTGTCTGTACCTGAACATTTACGTGCCTGCTAGGAAGGACAGTGAAAAATTGCTACCTGTGATGTTTTGGATTCACGGTGGAGCCTTTCTGTATGGTAGTGGAAATGAAGCAAACGAGACACTAATAATAGAAAATGAAGTTGTGTTTGTAACGATGAATTATCGTTTAGGAGCATTCGGTAAGTATGATAATAGATTGAAATCGTTTATTGCAGTGATGAGCTACTTTTTTTCGCAGCGGTAAAAATTGAAAACGTTGCAAACTTCAACCTTAAAAGCTTAATTTGTTAATTTAGAGGGCGTAGTTATTTATTATCTTGACAAGTAACAATGAGTACATTTTAATTTTATTATCTGAAAGTTTACGACCCGATACTATTGTTTTATGTTACTGAAAGTTATTTCATACAGTGCGTGCAGCTCATCACTGATTTATTATATTGAGACGGTGATTCGTTAAGACTAATATTTTATTTAAGGTTTCCTTAGCACGGGAGACAAGGAAGTACCTGGAAATATGGGATTGAAGGATCAGAGCTTGGCTTTGCGTTGGGTGCACGACCATATTAAGAATTTCGGCGGTGATCCTAATCAAGTCACGATTTTTGGAGTGAGCGCGGGTAGTGCGAGCGTTCATTATCAGTATTTGTCAAACTGGAGCGCTGGTCTTTTCCAAAGTACTTACATTATTGAGAGACTTTTTATTTCCTATTAATTTCCTATGTATTTAGCTCGTACTTTTCCTTTACATTTGCACATAATGCACACTTTATGTAGGAGGTATATCGATCAGTGGTGTAGCGCTCGATCCTTGGGCACTGTCAAAGAAGTCTCCCGAGATAGCGAAAAAATTAGGATCCGTCATGGGATGCTCGACAGCCAGTTCAGAGGAAATGGTCAATTGTCTACAAAATCGTCCTGCGCGTCTAATAGCTGAAGCTACTTCTAAGATTTTGGTAAATACAGTATTAGTTTCTCCTGTTTTAAACGTTTAAGATGATCTTGGTACAATATTTAAGTATTCAATCATAGTATTGGTTGGACACTCCTGTCGCTCCTTTCGCACCAGTCGTCGAGAAAGGAGGCGACAATCCTTTCATTTCTGATACTCCTGCCAATATAATCGCTAAAGGTGAAGCAGCAGATGTTCCATGGATTACTGGAGTAGTTAGCGAGGAGGGATTATTCCCCGGTGCAGGTCTGCTAATTTTTTTAAATAGAAGCATTAATTGTGTCTTTACTCCATCGTAAGATGAAAATTTGGATTATTCAGAATTTATCACCAATGATGGACTTCTGAAGCAGTTAAACGATGACTGGGACAATATTGCACCGTATTTGCTTAACTATTATGACTCTCTTCCGGTTAGGGAGTACAAAGAGGTAGCAGAAAAAGCTAGGAAGCATTACTTGGGATCCAGCGAAATTAACAAAGACTCTGTCATGCCACTGATATACATGATTGGAGATCGATTGTTCAGTGCTAATGGCGCGAATGCTGCCAAGTTACAGGCGAAGTATAACAAGAGTCCAGTATGGTTTTATTTGTACTCGTACAGGGCATGGACTAGCTTTAGCGAGACGCTCAGTCACTCTACTCAACACTTCGGTAATTATTTGCATATTTTCTGGTTAAAGTAGCGGACGAATTTGACGTCCGAAATGTTAAGTATACAAAGAAGCACATCCATTATTACCTCTCAAAGGATTCATTTATTAAAAAAAACTCGGATCATTTTTTAGAATTTCTTCCTCACCACTTTGGCAAATCATAGACTCGAGTTTGGTAGAGTAATTGGAATTTGCTTTTGATCATTTTAATTACTTTTTTATACGTATAAGAAAGATAGCGGATTACTTATATTTACATTACATAATTCGATTGAATATAATGCCTTAGGTACATGTCATAGTGACGATACACTCTTGGTGACGGACACAACGGTCTTGGCCACCACGAAGTCAGAGGACCTCAAAATGCAGAAACTTCTTCTTGAATTCTACACATCGTTCGCCATTGAGGGGTGAATAAATTAAAATGACACTTACGGTATTATTACCTGAACGATTTCGTAACGAAGACTTCTTAAACATTTTAGCAAGCCACATGTCGGTAACGCTATTTGGAAACCGTTGAAATCTGATGGAAAATGCTTCCGATATTTGCACATAGATAATCCGCAAAACATATCTATGGACTCTAACGATAATTTCGCGCAGAGGAAATTCTGGAACTCGATCAATTTCAACGAAAATAAAGTATGTCAAAAAGTGCTCGAAAAGAAAAAAGAGAAGCATTAGGATGAAGTGTGTGTTGTGTTTTTCTTAATTAGGCTGTATTTAATAAAATTGTTGACGATGTATCCAAATATATGTGCGTATGTGCATTAAATATCAAATTTTGTACAATCATTTTTATTCCTTGTATTTATGTAAAAAGATCTCCCTTTTAAGAAGAAAATATATTATTCTCCGTAATTTACTGTTTAATTTTTATAAAACAGATTGGACAGACAATTTTTTATAAAAACGTGTATTAGAGAATTTACCGAATAGAATTTCAACCGAACTCGCGGATTCTATAGAGTTTACTGATGATTCGAATGGAAATTTGAGCCAGATCTCACTGAATGCAGCCGACTCATGACGAACGTAACGTTACTAGTAACGTTTCAGTTCTGCTCTAGAGGATTCTTTCTTTTTTTTTTTATATAATTTTTGCCTTAGTAGGAGTTGTGCCTATTGTCTCAGCTAATTTACCAACTTTTGTTAATTGCATAAGTAATTGTGCAGAAAAATTTTCAAAAAATCTCTAATACGCAATTCTCAGTTCTGCTCCAGAGGATCAGAATCGGAGAGTTTATATACTCCTAGGACTGGGTGGGGATCTACCAAGATTTCCATACAAGGAGATTATTAGTGGTCCTACATGAGTTATTTTGGTTTCTGATTGTTACTCGATAATCGGTTGTTACTTTCGTTATTCGAGAGATAAACCTGAGAAAATTGTAGGGGTCCGCGATAATCGCAATACTTGACACCAATATTTCGGTTCAGCTCCGTACATTGCAATAGCGTTCTTTTGGAGCACAGTCGATATTTACGAAGAAGATCAATTATACATGGAGAAAATATAGTGTGACATAAAGGGTATATATTTTGAAAACCTGAAGAAGTGTAACTTATGAGAAAAAATACATCAACGTGAAATTATACTGTAAAATATTGCCACTTTCATGATAAAGTAAATTAGTTTCTCAAATATTCACTTTTTATCACAAAATTGTCTGACAAGTGCACATTTCACGCGATCACGAGGAAACGATAACCTGTGTATTACAGTAAGTATAATACTTCGTCAGGAATATTATGAAGGATAGTTGATAGTACGTTTAGAAATAATGATGCTTGCTTTGAATATCTACATCTTCGATCACAGTAACCATCAATTATGTTATCTTTGCGATAACGTTCAGCCTTACAAAATTTATTCTTCCTGAAATTGTAACATTTACTTTCTCTGTTGGTTTTTAAATGGCGTACAAGTTTAATTGTTAGAAGGAGTGGAAATAACGAAATGAAAATCGATTGAAAATAATCGGATGCGAGATCACTCTAATTGCATTTGCAACTGATTTACGTTTAGTGCATTTATTTATTCAGCTTTTATAGTAACCGCAACATTTTTAATTATTTCTTAGATTTTACTGCTTTAACATTATCAGTTTCTATTATACAAATAATAGTTTCGGATAATTCATTTATGCTAACATATAGAACAGATATTCTGGAATGCACCATGATATACGTTTTCTGAAGAATTGGAGAGCTATAGAATAATTTATAGTCACTATTGAAATTGGGATGGTTTTTCATGAAAAGAATTATTATAGTTTCTTTAAAAAAACGTTATTTAAACGACTACAATTATTGAAAATAAAAAAGACATGTATATTTTCCCATTTTCTAGAAAGAAGACCCGATAAAAAAAATAATACATAATACCTACCTATAATTAAAAGCATTAAAATGTTTCACCTAAATGAACGTGTTAGTTGGATGATGTAAACTTAAATGTTTATTGCAATTTTTTTTGTTTATTGAAACGATTATATTTAGTATTTTAGTGTTTATTTAGAAATAATTGTTTTACTGAAATGTTTATTGATGTAAATTTTATTCAATTTACTCTAACGTATAAACAATATCCTATACTATATGTATATGTAGTTCCACACTATAATTTTGCCACTTCTACTTCTAATAATTCCTCCTCTTCATCCAATAATTTCGATCTGCAGTTCTCTCAATCTCAACACTATCACGTTCATTCAATTGACCTGACACGTGTGAACGTTCTTTTATTTCTTGATATCTCTATTATCATGAGATTATAACTATCTATCAACGTCTATTATCACGCTTTAATAGCATTAATCATGCAACATTATCTCTTTACGTAACTCTTTGCGTCGACACGGAAATCACTCATTTCTACTTTTTCTAAGACACTTGAGCGTACACGCGATTTCTTTAACTGATAAGACATGTTATAATAAATAGTTATGCGCGAATATTTTCTTTGTGTGTTTCTGCATTTACGTAACTAATAGTTCTGTAAGCATGGTGTTTAACATGGCAATTGTTTTGTATATATATACCGGGGAACTCTAAAAAAAGCTCAGTTTCTGCTATATCCGCGCACAGTTGCAACAATGATCGTGAAGAACATATCGACTATTTTGCTTCTGCTCGGGCTTGTGAAACTCTCGCTGCAGAATGAAGAGAGTCCGAAAGTTTACACGTCATTGGGAAGCTTAACTGGTCTCCTCAGGACGTCTCGACATGGCAAAGCGTACGAAGCTTACGAAGGCATCCCTTACGCAGAACCTCCGGTTGGAAAGCTTAGGTTCCAAGTACGTTGAACAATATCCTTACAAAGATTCGAATCGTTCGATAAAAGACAGTAGATAAGTATTAGGTCGTGTAATAGAAAATGACGGATTGAAATGACACGTTCATCTTGATTAGTATGAAAGATTCACCTAACTTAACAAGACTCGACTTAACACTCAACTGATGACGTGCGCAGGCTAATAATACATGGGAATCATACTTTTTACATGTTAAACCTTGACATAATGTGACAAAATACTGTTATTTTGATCAAAGTTCTGAAGATTTAAATACTTTTTTTGGAGATTAAATTTCACCATTGCCGAACTATGATAGTTACGTCTTAATAATGCATATGAAAATTCTAGCCACCTCAACCTGTGAAAAGCTGGGGAGGAAACTTACCCGCGAACAAAAAGGGTTCCGCTTGCATACAGTATAGTCCGGCTGCCCTATCGGGCAGCAACAATACAGTCTTTGGTTGCGAGGATTGTCTGTTCTTGAACATTTACGTGCCTGTTAGGAATAGCAGTGAAAAATTGCTTCCTGTGATGGTTTGGATCCACGGAGGAGCTTTTCAGGCTGGTAGTGGAAATGATGCAGACGAGACAGTAATAATGGATAAGAATGTTGTGCTTGTCACTATCAATTATCGTTTAGGATTATTTGGTGAGAATGATGATAGATTGGAATTCTTTGTTACAGCGATGAGTTACTTTCTTTGCAGCGATCAAATTCATTAAGTTAAATCTGATCGTTAAATCTAATTTATTAATTTAGAAATTTTTAATTTATAGGGTGAGAATTTTTATTTTCTACATAGGTAACAATAAGCACATATTAATTTTATATTCAAAAGTTCATGAGCTGTAACACTCTGCAATGAAACCATACGATCTTTCTTAATATTATTTCATACCTTATACATGTATCGTGCTAAACGCAATAATTGTTGTCTTCAGTTGACCGAAGTGGATCGTAGCAAAATTTTAGCGTTTCATATGTTGCTCATCGCTGGATTATTATATTTGCAAGGAGATTCATTAATACAAATATATTATTTAAGGTTTCCTTAGCACGGGAGACGAGGTAATACCTGGAAATATGGGGTTGAAGGATCAGAGTTTGGCTTTGCGTTGGGTGCACGACCATATTAAGAATTTCGGCGGTGATCCTAATCAAGTCACGATTTTTGGAGTGAGCGCGGGTAGTGTGAGCGTTCATTATCACTATTTGACGAAATGGAGCGCTGGTCTTTTCCAAAGTACTTACATTATTGAGAGAATTTTTATTTCCTATTATTTAACTTCACTCGTAATTTTCCTTTATATTTACACATGTTATTGCACATTTTATGTAGGAGGTATATCGATAAGTGGTGTGACGCAAACTGCTTGGGCACTGACAAATGAGGCTCCCGAGAGAGCGAAGAAATTAGGAGCACTCGTGGGATGCCCGACTGCCAATTCAGATGAACTGGTCAATTGCCTACAAAAGCGTCCTGCGCATGTCCTGTCTGAAGCTACCGCTAACTTTTTCGTAAATCACACATTAGTTTCCCTTATTTTAAATGCTTAAGAAGTTCTTTATCTAATACTGAAATATTCAATCGTAGTATTGGTTCATCTTTTCTCTCACTCCTTTCGCACCAGTCGTCGAGAAAGGAGGCGACAATCCTTTCATTTCTGATAATCCTGCCAATATAATCGCTAAAGGTGAAGCAGCAGATGTTCCATGGATTAGTGGAGTAGTTAGCGAGGAGGGATTATTTCCCGGTGCAGGTCTGCTAATTTTTTTAAATAGAAGCATTAATTGTATCTTTACTCCATCCGTAAGGTGCAAATTTCGATTTTTCAGCACTTATCGGCGATCCGGAACGTATGAAGCAATTAAACGATAACTGGGACAATATTGTACCGTATTTACTTGTCTATTACGAGTCTCTTCCGGTCAGTGAACGCAAGGAAGTAGGAGACAAAATTAGAAACCATTACTTTGGATCCAGCGAAATTAACGAGGATACTGCTATGCCTCTGATATACATGCTTGGAGATCGACTGTTCGGTGTTCCTTTGGAGAAGGCCTGCAGGTTAATGGCGAAAGCTAATAAGAGTCCAGTGTATGTGTATAAGTACGATTTCAGAGCTACGAGGAGTCTGAGCGACCTATTCATTCCGTCTAAGAAGAATTATGGTAATTTTTGCATATTTTCTGGTTAAAATAGGGGACGAATTTGACGTTCTAAATGTTAAATAACTAAAAGTTAAGTATAATTTCCTTGATGATTTATCTATTGAAATAGCTCGTATCATTTTTTAGATTTTCTTCTCACCTCTTAGGCAAATCATAATCTCGAGTTCGGTAGAGTAGTTGGAATTTGCTTTTGATAATTTTTTAATTTTTTCATATGTAACATTTTCATATGTTGATTACTTATTTTTACACTACACAAATTGATTGAATATAATGTCTCAGGTGTGTGCCATACTGATGATGTATACCTTGTTGTCGACTTGTTACTCTCAACCTCCACTGATCCAAAGGATCTCGAAATGCAGAAACTTCTTCTTGAATTCTACACATCGTTCGCCATTAACGGGTGAATAAATTAAAATGACACTTAAAGTATTATTACCCGAACACTTTCGTAACGAATACTTCTTAAACATTTTAGCAAGCCACAAGTCCGTAACGCTAATTGGAGACCGCTGAATCCTGACGAAAAATCATTCCGATATTTGCAAATAGATACTCCGCAATACATATCTATGAACTCCAGCGATAATTTCTCACAGAAGAAATTCTGGAACTCGATCAATTTCAACGAAAATATAATAAGTTCAAAATAGCCGGGAGAAGAAGGGGAGGAGCAATAAGATGAAGCTTGTATTGAGTTTTTCTTAATTAGACTATATTTAGTAAAATTGTCGACAATGTATCCAAATATATATGTGCGTATGTGCATTAAATATTAAATTTTGTACAATCATTTTTATTCCTTGTATTTGCGTAAAAAGATCTCCTTTTTAAGGAGAAAATATATTATTCTCCGCAATATACTGTTTATAATGACGTATAATTTATAAAATTCGGATGAACAGACAATTTTTTATAATAACGTGCATTAAATTACGAAATTACGCACATGTATTTTCCCTTCCCCAATTGTTGCGTGTGCAGTAATAGAAAATATATGTAACTTTGTGAAACTTACTGATTGAGTAATCTATCATTAAAAAAAGGAACTCAAATTGCAATAAAACATTTATTTCCTTTAACAATGGTATATAACTATTCACCGCTAAAATTTTATTCCCATTTGTCATTTCAAAAAAGGAAAAATTAGATGGATACGTATAGAATGGCATAGTGGATTAGGTATACAATAATTCTTGTTGGTAGATAACGAAGAAGTTAATTTATTATACATTTTTATGCAGTTCGTGAAAATTTCAAGTTTTGCAAATTTGAATCAGACGAGGTTTCATAATACAAATAGTATTTTAATATATAAATTTGCTAAGAGGAATGGTGATTAGGATCTTTAACCATAGCAACTTTCGATTGGCGAAATATGGACAATCAACATCATTTACGACCATCTCAAATTATTTATATTATCACAGAAAGATTAACTAAATATAGTGCGACATAATCGAGGTGTACTGGATGAGGCACCTAAGACTAGTAGCTGAAATATTTCTAAAACTGTTAAGTATATTAGAAAAAGCTTCAAACAAATGCTGAATGTCGAGAGGAACATTGTTCGATATGACTAGAATTTTGTAAGTGGATCTGTAGAGGATATATGAAGATCAAGTTTGCTTTTTAAATGGAATCATAAATTTTTCATGATATTCTATTTGTCTCTATAAAAAAGTGTTAAGCTATTTATACCTGACGTTAAAACGTTTTCAGAATACTACCTACAGTGACTCTTACTAATATTCGGACACTCTTTTGAAGAGTATAACTTTTTTAAAACGGGACCAAACGACTTGAGATTTTTCGAGAAGTTAGAAAGATTAGTTTGCTAGATGGCGTGTAAAAAAATTGCAATTTGTTGGAATCGCTAAGAGAATCTTTCCGTGTTATCTATATTTTTCGAGATATTTAAGTGTTCTCAGATAAATCACACACACACTTTGCAAAAGCGAAAGAACTGTAACTTAAGAGAAAAAATACATTAACATGATATCATGCTGTAATATATTGGCACTTCTATGATAAAGTAAATTACTTTCTCAAACTTTCAAGCCTTATCGTAAAATTTTCTGATAAAAGTTCACATTCCACACGGTCACGAGGAAACAATAAACCGTATTTTATCGTACTTTGTTCGGAGTATTATGAAGTACAGCTGATAATATTTTTGAAAGTAACAAATCTTGCCTAGAATTTTTATATCTTTGGTAACAATAACCACCAATCATGCTAATCTTTACGGTAGCCTTCAGCCTTAAGAGGTTTACGCCTGCTGAAATTGTAACATTTATTTGCTATGTTGGTTTTTAAGTAGCGTATAAGCTTAATTCTCTCAATCTCAGCACGTTCATTCTTTCGATTTGACACGCGAGAACGTTCACTTTATTCCACGATATCTCTGTTTGCACGAGATTAGAACTATCCATCAACGTCTATTATCACACTTCATTAGCATTAATCTAGCAATAGTAACTCGGTAATAAAATCTCGAAATCTATATATAGTACTTCTATAGTAAAATCTGAAACATTTCCTTTATAACGCGACGTATCGACGCGGCAATCTGTTATTGTTATTCTTACGTTGACTTTTAGACGTACACACGATCACTTTAATCGATAAGACCTGTTATTACAAGTATAATACTGCATGCACCAGGTAAAAAGTCGATAGTACGGGCCTGTCATTATTTCGAGTGTCCTTGGTTCTGTGTTAACAACTGCTCTGAATGTGTATTATTAACTTGGCCAATGTTTAGATATGCATAACTGTACCGGGGAACTTGATAAAAACCTCATTATCTAACGGACTCGATCATAGTTCCTAAAATGATCGCGGTGAAGATATCGACTGTTTTGCTTTTTCTCGGGCTCGTGCACTCCTCGCTGCAGGATGAAAAGTTACCGAAAGTTAACACGCCTTTGGGAAGCATAATTGGTTACCATAAGAAGTCCCGAAATGGTAAAGCGTATCGAGCATTCGAGGGCGTCCCTTACGCGGCACCTCCGGTTGGAGAGCTTAGGTTCCAAGTACGTTGAACAATATCCTTACAAAGATTCGAATCGTTCGATAAAAGACAGTCGATAAGTATTAGGTCGTGTAATAGAAAATGACGGATTGAAATGTCACGTTCATCTTGATTAGTATGAAACATTCACCTAACTTGACAAGACTCAACTTAACACTCAACTGATAACATGCGCAGACTAATAATACATGGGAATCATACTTTTGACATGTCAAACGTCGAAATAATGTGACAAAAAGCTGTTAACTTGTTGAAAGTTCTGGAGGTTTAAATACATTTTCGGAGATTATCTTTCACCATTGCCGAACTATGGCAGTTATGACCTGATAGTGTATATGTAAATTCTAGCCACCTAAACCTGTGCAGAGCTGGGAAGGAGACTTACCCGCGAATAAAAAGAGTTCCGTTTGCACTCAGTATCTTATGTCTGGGATATCGGGAACCGGAGAAAGAGTAACGGGTTGTGAGGACTGTCTGTACCTGAACATTTACGTGCCTGAGAGGAACAACAATAAAGAATTGCTACCAGTGATGTTTTGGATCCACGGTGGAGCGTATCAATTTGCTAGTGGAAATGAAGCGAACGAGACATTCATAATGGATACCAATGTTGTGCTTGTCACTGTGAATTATCGTTTAGGACCATTTGGTGAGAACGATAATAGGTTGGAAACGTTTATTACAGCGATGAGGTGCTCTGTTTCTGCACCTTTCAAAATTAACATCTCTGCTTAATTTATTCATTTAAGCATCATTCATTTATAGGGTGGAATTATTTGTTATCATCAATTTGCTAGTGGAAATGAAGCGAACGAGACATTCATAATGGATACCAATGTTGTGCTTGTTACTGTGAATTATCGTTTAGGACCATTTGGTGAGAACGATAATAGGTTGGAAACGTTTATTACAGCGATGAGGTGCTGTTTCTGCACCTTTCAAAATTAACATCGCTGCTTAATTTATTCATTATACATTGGTAACAATGAGTACATTTTTATTTTATTATTTGAAATTTTACGAGCCGATACTATTGTTTCTCTCATATCTATATTAGAATTATACGGTATCTTGCAAAATTATTTCATACATCGTCCTAAACGCAATACTTTTTGTCTTTAATTGATCGAAGTGAGTCATACAAAAATTTCGACGTTCCATGTGTTGCTCATCGCTGTATTACTATATTTGCAGGGAGATTCGTTAATAGAAATATATTATTTAAGGTTTCCTTAGCACGGGAGACAAGGAAGTACCTGGAAATATGGGGTTGAAGGATCAGAGCTTAGCTTTGCGTTGGGTGCACGACTATATTAAGAATTTCGGCGGTGATCCTAATCAGATCACGATTTTCGGAATGAGCGCCGGTGGTTCGAGCGTTCATTATCACTATTTGACGAAATGGAGCGCGGGTCTTTTCCAAAGTACATTATTAAGACTGTTTTTATTTCCTATTATTTAATTTCACTCGTAATTGTCTCTAATATTTACACATATTGTTGCACATCTTATGTAGGAGGCATATCGATAAGTGGTGTAGCGCTTAATCCTTGGCCACAGACGGAGAATGCTCCCGAGAAAGCGAAGAAATTAGGAGCAATCCTGGGATGCCCGACTGACGATTCATATAGTTTGGTCAGTTGTCTACAAAGTCGGCCTGCGCGCCTCATATCTCAAGCTGTCGGTGACTTTATGGTAAATCCCATGTTGTTATCCCTTTCTGCAAACGTTTGAGAAAATCTTTCTACAATTTTCAAATGTTCTATCACAGTATTGGAAGTACAATCCTTTCACTCCTTTCGGACCAGTCGTCGAGAAAGAAGGAGACAATCCTTTCATTTCTGATACTCCAATCAATGTAATCGCTAAAGGTGAAGCAACGGATGTTCCATGGATTACTGGAGTAGTTAGCGAGGAGGGATTATATCCCGCGGCAGGTCTGCTTACTTTTTTAAATAGAAGCATTAACTGTATCTTTGCTCCATCGTAACTTGAAAATTTCGATTATTTAGAATTTGTCAACGATGATAAACTGCTGAAGCAGTTGAACGATGACTGGGACAAGATTGCACCGTATTTGCTCGACTGTAACGACACTATTCCGCTTAGTCAGCAAAAGGCAGTGGTAGAAAAAATTAGAAAATATTACTTAGGATCGAAAGAAATTAACAAAGACTCTGTTATGCCACTGATACATATGATCGGAGACAGATTGTTCTCCGTCGATTGCGAGAAGGCTGCTAGGTTACAGGCGAAACGTAACAAGAGTCCAGTGTGGACTTATTTGTACTCTTACAGGGCATCGCATAGCTTGAGCGACGGGTTCACTAATTCTGATCGTAACTTTGGTAACTTTTGCACATTTCCTTGTTAACATAGCGAATGAATTTGACGTTCGAAATGTTTAATATGAAAATAAGTATATCCACTATTATTTCTCTAATGATTCATTTATTAAAACAACTCTTGTCATTTTACAGCATTTTTTCTCATTTTTCAGGCAAATCATAGACTCGAGTTCGATAAAGTATTATGTAGTTGGAATTTGCTTTTGTTCATTTTTATTACTTCTCCATATGTATAAAAAAAATAGTGGATTACTTATATTTGCACTACACAAATTGATTGAATATAATGTCTCAGGTGTGAGCCATGGTGACGATATATTCCTTGTGCTTTCCACGGGGCTCTCGAACGTCGTGAAGCCAAAGGACATCGAAATGCAAAACCTTCTCGTGAAATTGTACACATCGTTCGCCATTGAGGGGTGAATAAATTAACTAGCCTAACCTAGCCTAACCTTACCTGAACGCTTTCGTAACGGAGACTTCTTAAACATTTTAGCAAGCCACGCGTCGATAAAGCTAAATGGGAGCCGCTGAAACATAATGAAAAATCATACCGATATTTGCATATAGCCGCTCCGCAAAAAGTAAATATGCACTCTGACGACAATTTCGCGCAGAAGAAGTTCTGGAGCACGATCAAATTCAACGAAAATAAAGTGTGTCATAAAAAGCACGGAAAGAAAAAAGGGAAGCATTAGGATGAAGTGTGTGTTTTTAATTAGGCCGTGTTTAATAAAGTTGTTTACGGTGTATCAACATGTATGTAAGTGTATGACTGCATAAAATAAAAATGTTTCAGTAATGATTGCACGCGAGCGATTAACTTTTATTTCCAGAATTTAGGTACGAGAAATCACTTTTTAAGGAAGAAAAATGTAAGTTATATGTTACTATATATAATTTATCAAGATTAAACGAACCGATAATTTTTTGTCTCTTTTGCACATGATAGTGTGACAAGATGTTACGAATTCTATAACCCTTTGATTACGAGTAATGGTATTTTTTTTTTTTATCGAAGGTGGGGAATTGAGAATCAGAATAGATTGAGGTTTGACATACAAAATCGTTTATTCATATAAAAGGACACTTTATACTAGCACGTACTGTCAAAACTAGCCTACTTCCATACAGTCGGGACCACCGAGGTACCCTCGGCTCGCTCGTTTTCTTTTATGTATCACATATTATGTATACGCGGCAAAACGATAACGGATTATGCTGAGAAATAAAAGGGGTTGGGGCAGGGGCGGATAATTGTCACTTGTGGCCATTGTAGTCGAGTACAAACAAAACAAGAAGAAAGAATAGAGAAAAAAAAAATTAAGAAAGAAGAAGAAGAAGTAGAAGAAATGTCCGAGAAATCCATCACGAGCATATTGAGTATATTCGCGTACTGAGCGCCATTATTCGTCTCGCTATTCACAGCATGATCAATTTTAATCCACACTCAGCTTCCGTTTTTTCTTTGTTTCTTTTCAATTGATTTCTATATTGGAAGGACAAGCTGTTTCTTTTTTTACGATGGCTCGCAACGTTGGTAAAGACAGAAACACCGTCTAACAAGACGACGGGGATGATTGTTACCAACGCCAAAAGCACGCGCTCGTTAATTAATTACATGCATCCTATGTGTGTTCACCATAATTAATATATCTTACGTTAGAGTTATACAGTTGTATATCATATAAACGTACTATCGTAAAACACTCGATACTCATATTTACTTTCAGTATGCTATCGCTATGAGTGTGAAGTGGATATTTATGATAAATACTATGTCTCGAATAATTACTAGAAGTCGTTAGCTTGAGAAGAGCCGATACGATTCGCGCGTAAGTACTGAATTACAATTGGCTCGGCGCAGTAATGTATGTAAACCATTTACGAGTGATACTATCTGATTGAGTAACTTCTTTATAAAGCTTCGCAAATTATCGAAAAATCATTCCATTCTTCTCTTTTTCTTTTCTCTTTTGTTTTTTTTTTTTGTCGAATATTCTCTATAAGAAAATTGTAAGAACCTTTTCTTACGAATTGTATCTTCTAAATACACGTTTCGTGCGATTAAAAATCACGAAAATGATTTTCATCCATTAAATGAGAAAAATTATAAAATGGCTACCCGACCGTGTGAAATGTACAAACAGTGGCTGTGGTCCGGGCGTACGAAGGATAAAAACTGTCTATTTCAATTAACCCAGGTGATCAGCCGATTCTAAACAAGATGCTACATTAAAATCTCTTTTATTCGAAATGAAATGTTCCGTGAAGAAATGTTGGATGCTTTAGGCCTAAGTTGAAGAATAACGAAAAAATTCCTTCGATCTAACTAACTCACTCTTACGAAAAAGAAAAAATGAGACGTGTAATTGAAATTAATTTCGATAATATCCAAACACACAGTGCATACAAAGAAAATTGACGTAAAACGAGAGAGATAAAATCGTTCCATGTATTAACTTTATTATCAACGTGTTACGTACGTAAAACATCTATGTTCGGAACAGTGACGGTAGTAATATGGCCACTTGTATCACGATCGAGTTGCCATGGAAGCACTATTGTTACATCGTGTTTATCAATCTGGTCTCCTGACAGAGATCCTCTCTCTCTCTCTCGCTCGCTCGCTCACTCTCTCTCTCTCTTTCTCTCTATCTATTCTCCTCTACTATTAAAACGCGTATACAAAATCACACTTGGTCTTCGCGTTTTCAACGAGGCTAAATTAAACGAGATATATATACTATTACTCGTACAAAGAAAAAATAAAAAAAAAAAAAGAAGAAAAAGGATCGACGGGTAGTGTTTCGCTGATGCCAGGAAGACAGAACTTCGACACGTGGTCTATCATCCGATTATAAATTACAGAGACAGTATGCGCAGTATTTGTGCGACGATAATAGCGTTCATTCTATTACACCTAAACAGTGCCCTAAGATTCCATAGTCTCAA